GCTCATTTTGCATTTCTATACTGTATCAGGTGCCAGCTCCTGTATAACTCAACACAAATGACTGCACTTCTGTTTTCTCCTTCTACAGTACAGTTACTGGTTGTGCTTTCTGTGTAAACACACCAGATCACATTTCAGTTACAGCACTGAAATGAATAAAATCTAATGAAATACAGTCTTATTATTTAACAAAACAGACCAGAAATCTGCTAATGGGTTTTTTACTTCAGGTGAGGTGTATCTGTTTTCTCTAATAAACTGTTGGCTGTGAGATCAGATCCCTAGCCTGGCCAGGAAATACCTAGGCAGGAAAATCATTAGCCACGTTCATTTAAAATCAACCATTATCAAAACAGAATTTGGAATGATATTTGGATTTTGAAGGGAGAACTTGTGTTATGTTCTCATGCTGGTGAATTCCATCAGTTCAGTTTCTGCCTTTATATCCAAGAGTCCAGCCTGCAAAAGAATTTTTGAGTGAAGACGAATCTCCAGGAGTATCGTCATCTCTCACCTTGTGTTGAAGTCCACTCTTCTTCCACGTCTTCAAATGTTTCAAATGCTGGCAGTTTTCCTTCTTGTAGAGCTTGTCTGCTTGCCTCTGTACTCTGCCAGAATGAAGGACTGAAGGAGACACTTTTATACCTTATTGGCAGCTAGAGGAGATGTCTCGTGAAGGTCCTATAGTCCACAGAAAGCCAACCGTTGTGGTAAAAATAGATATCTTCATTAATCACCCCTAAAAGTGCTGAGGGAGGGGTGCGCTTCCAACAAGATAATCGATCTATTCAAAGTCTCCAGCTGAAGGAAATATTTTAGTTTATCAAATTCTACTGTCAGTGCTTGTATCTGTGGCCAAAATTTAGAGATGGCATCCTTGTCTCCTGTCTGAATCACAGAGATATAACAGGAAACCAGACAGCCTCCTTTTACAAGAACATCTGTCTGTGCCAGCCATTAAGGTCTCTAAATAGAGCTCTTATCTTTTTCAAAGAGAAATAAAACGTACTCAGCGATAGTTTAAGAAAATATGATACAGAAACTGGGAAGGCTAATTATGCACTTCAGGGTGAGGAAACCAGTAGATTATCTTCATCCACGATTTGGATAAATTTAGAAAGCGCTGAGCTGGGTGATGGAAAATCACAGAGCTGCAGTATTTCTGCAGTGTTTGATGTACACTATAACGTGAAAGGAATAAGTGAAGCCAAACAATGGACAGGGGCTTCTTCAGTCTGTTTGAAATGGTTCTATGAAGGAGTGAATCAGAAAACTGGTTGACCTTTCAATTTCAAGATGATTTCTTACTTCACTCTTACCTCATATTTTCAGGAACAAGCAAAATTCCAACACTGAAACAATTGTTGGAATTGTTGGAATTGTTGAAAAGAATTAAAACAATGGTAAAGAAGACTATTAAGGATACTATTAAGAAACAATAAAGGTTATAAATGAGAAGAAATTGGTCTCATCTGGCCCATTTGGAATTTAGTAAATTACTGATCACAGGATCTCATTTAAGGCCATTTCTTGAAGGAAGCCAAAGTATTGGCATCAGCCACAGGTCTCAGTAGCCTGTTCCACATTCCCACCACAGGTAAAGAGGTGCCTCCAGAATTTAAATGCACCTTAATTTAAATGTAAGGTATGTGAATGCTGTTAGGTTGCTAACACAACCTGAGAAATGGAAACTGAAACTCAAGCTACTTCTAATTAAACCTACTCCTGAAACTGGCATCTTATATCATTTTTCACACACCTGCTTTTGGCATTTGACTTTATCCATAATGTAGTCCGATACTACATTACTACGTCCGATAAGTACGGATAGGCAAGGCAACACTGCTTTTGGCACACAGCCCAGCTCCCACAACCAAAAGCCAAAACTCGCTTTCCTTTCATAAAATCAGAAAGAGCCAAATGCTTTTCTGAGCACGCCCCTTTCCTGTCTTATTGTGTAAACTTTGTTGTGGGAGGACCCTAAAAAATCAATACATTTTATAGTCTGAGGACAACCTGTTCTACTTCAGTGAGTCAGGGGAATAGTGGATTGTTCGGTCACCGTTTACTTATTCTCTGTGCTTATCAGTGACATCAAGTTAACTCCAGGATGCCTAGATCCAACAAGACTGTGTGGAAATTGGTATGTGTGGGCTTAATGGTGCTCTTCCTGTTGGTTATAATTTGTATTATTGTTGCTATATATAAAACGAAGGAGAACTCATCATGGGAGGAAGAGAAGAAAGATCTTGAGAAGGTTTTGGAGGAAGGGAGACAAAATCAGACCAAGCTCGAAAATGATGTAACTGAAAAGCTGAAACAACTGCAGCAGTGTGAAGAGACCCTGAAGGTGAGTATCCTCTCCCTTAATATTAAGTTCCACATTGTGTAAGATGGCTGGTAACTCAATGACTTGTACCTCTCTTCTGACTTCTGTGTTTTCAGTTTGTCTTCTGAAGCATTTTACCGAATTAATGATGCTTTCACATTTTATCTGTTTATTATAATTAACCATTTGAAAACATGCTTAAGGTCACCATCTTTAGTACATGGGATTTTCCTTGTTACTAGTCTGGTTTCCTAGTTACACATTTTCTCACAAGATAGCATGTTACCTCAAGTACTGTATACAGAGTATTGTGCTTTATTAGTGGTTACATGAAGTATCTTGTTCATCTATGAACACCTGGATAGGAACACCTGGATTGGGAACTCTCTGTGCCTGAGAGCAACAAGGAATGAATTACTTTTCAATTCAGTTTTACTCCAGCTTTTTCATTGGCTGGGAGGAATTTGTTTTATGGCCCAACACAACAAAAACAATGAAAAAACAAAAAAAAACAATGAAAACAGACAAACATCACCAACAAAGCAGACAGTACAACAGTGCCTGAGGAAATAAGATAATTATTTTACATTAGGTAAGAAGGACGTTGCAGAAGGGATGGAAGTTTTCATGAGTCTCTTTTCATTACACCTGGGGACACAGAGGTGTCTCGCAATCGTGAGTATTGTGAATTCACAGTGAAGGGCCAGAGTCACACTATTCTTGAGTCTTTTTGCCATTTTCACACCC